TTCCTAGGTAATCAATATGAAATTATAAAAGAGTGTTCTTGCTTGTTCTTACATGATGTCATTAAGGCAAATTAATGAATACTGAAATTTAACGGTTTTTAAAAATATACCCTTCAAACTTTTATGTAATTCCTTACTAAACATCAGAAGAAGAATTTTTTTTTTAAGATTATTTATTTATACAAGCACTGGGTACAGTCAGAAGCACGGGAGGGTGAGAGAATTCACCAGAGCCAGAGCGGGGAGCAGAGCAGGCAGAAGGACCGAAGTAGACTGCTGAGGGGAGCAGTGGGCGGCAGGAGAGGTCTGTCATGCCATGTGGGACCGTCGCTGGTGGCCGGGGATTGAACCGGCGCTGCAGAGGCTGCAGGCAGCTTCGCAGCCCAGTGCTCAACCGCTGCACCACCAGGGGAGGCCCAGAAGAAGAATTTTAGAAATTAATAGAATCAGAACACAAAAAATAGGACATAGCTATATATCGAAATGAAATAGAATATGGATAATGGAATACTTTTCTTGAGAAAATGTAGGGCATATTAGAAAATTCTCAAAACCTATTCTAGAACCTTCCGTATATCTTCTTGTACTTTTTAAAAACTTAATGGTGAAAATTATAACAGCAAAAAATTTGGACACTATTAAAATGTTTATATGATTCAAGAACTGTAATTTACCTTTTAGTTCATTGAAACATGAAAGTAGTGAGATATTAACTTAAATTTGAAATCATTTAAAAAATCTGATGTGCAGGTCTAGGTAAAGCTATCCTGTCACTAATACTTTGAGACAGCAATTTACTCTTCTTACAAATTACCAATATTTTTAAAGAAAAATTATCTAGATAAAAGTAAGAATGCTAAATAAGGGCCTCCCTGGTGGTACAAGGGGTTAAGACACAACCTCTGAAGCAATACGCAGCCACTGCAGCACGAGTTCGATCCCTGGCCAGCCAGGGAGCTACCCACATGGTGCAGCAGACCTCTCCTGTTTTTCCCGCTGCACCCCTCAGCCGTATATTTCAGTGAGTCTGCCTGTTCTGCTCCCCACTCTATCTCTGGTGAATCCTCTCACCCCCCCCCACCTCTGGCCTGTACCCCAGTTCTTGTATGCATAAATAAATAAAAAAAATCTTTAAAAAAATGCTAAAAAAAGGTTTACTTTTGAAAACACTTACGTTAAAATGTTATTCTCAGAACTAATGTGGCATGTCTTAGTGTGGATGTTTTATGTTTTATACAACTTTTATTGAAGAATATATCTATAGGAAACTACGTAAAGTAAGTATATAACCTAAGTATTTTTAGGCAAACATTCTTATGGCTACCACCTAAGTCAAGATAAAACTGTGTCCTTTATTCCATGATTGGAGCCTTTATTTTCTCTATCTCAAGATATTTCAGGCTCAACCTATATTTTTTCCACTCCAGAATCCACTAATTCTCCAAAGAGCCCTGGTTCATTTATCTATTGATAGAAGAGTGGTATTTACAAACTGAGGTCTGGGTAACAGATGCACTCATCACTATTTGCTTCTGTGCTTTTTTGAGACAATGTTCTAAAAAAGGTTTTAAAGTACTAAAAGAATATAAATGCCTCTTCAAGGTTATAGAGACATATGTAATTTGAAACATGATGACAACAACCATAACTACAATCCACAATAGAAACTACATGATATCAAATGGAACATTGATGTGTGAGGAGTTAATATTACACCACCCCCCTAAACTTTGGTATAACCTCTCCCCCCAACTGAAACTTACTGGCATTTGTAGTAGTACCTACCTGACACATTTCCAAATCCTTTTTTAGCCTGTTGGGAGCTTTGTAAATATTGGCTGGCGGTGAAGAACTTAGAGTCTCACATTAAAATGTGTGAAAAACAATTCGATGTCATCAACGTCACAACTGAATGTCTGTCTAGGGGTTCTTTCCACAGGAAACAAGGCATTGGAACACATAAACTTTGACACCATAATAAATTTGTCATTTTATGCAACCAAGATGTGAACTCTTTATAAGAATTTATTAAATCCTAATGACTTTGGAGTGTGATATCGAGTTCTTTCTTATGGTTGAAATTTAAACTTTTTATTATTTTATGTGAACATTTTCATTTATATAACAAAATGACTACTAGTAAGAGTTTACTTCAGTCTCTATTCTTATTCATGTATATAATACTGTGTTTTCTAAAAATACTAATGATTTTTTTGGAAGATTTTTTTTCTTACTCTCTGCATTGGTTTCATAGTCTTGACTTCCAACATTCAAGTTGCAGAATTTCCTCAAATATTTGGAGGTTTTTGGTTATTCTATCATTTGAGTAAGGCTGATTAGAAATAAGTGCACAAAAGGGCTATTACCTGTACTTTTACTGAAGAGGCAGGGGGAGGTTAGCAGGTGTCATTTTTGGGGGGCAGCTGCCTAAATGTCATCATATCCATCTCTGTCTTTTGGGTCAGTCTGAATCTTGGTCTCAATCTTGCCAAACACTTGAGTCATGCTTGGCAGCTTCAGTTTGATGAGAAAAATGAGAGCGCTGAAGCCTTCATTGTTCTGTAGATATGCTTTGAATATTATAAAAAATAAAATTGTGGTAAAATACACACAACATTGGGGGAAGGGGCGGGGAGAGGAAGGATTAGGGTCAAAATAAGGGGGGATGCAATTGTATGGGGACTATAACCAAAATTAAAATGCATACATCGTGCAAAAATGAAAAATGATGTAAGAATTATATAAAATAAGATATTAAAAATACACACAACATAAAACCTGTCTTTTTAAACATTGTTAAGTGTATTGCTCAGTGGTGTTAAGTACATTGCATTAAGCACATTCACATCATTGTACCACTAATCTGAACTCTTCATCTTACAAAATGTAACTTTATACTCGTTAAACAAGGACTCCACATTTTTTTTAAATGTGGAATAATTTTCAGACTTTTTTTAAAAAGGATTTTATTTTATTTATTTATACAAGCACTGGGTACAGTCAGAAGTGAGGGAGGGCGAGAGAATTCGCCAGAGGCAGAGCGGAGAGCAGAGCAGAGCAGGCAGACTGACAAAGTACACTGTTGAGGGGAGCAGTGGCGGCAGGAGAGGTCTGCGTGCCATGTGGGACCCTCGCCCGGTGGCCGGGGATCGAACCGGCAGCTTTGCAACCCAGCGCTCAACCACTGCAACACTGGGGAGGCCCAGGAATCCACATTTTCCCATTCCCCCAGCTCCTGGTAACCCCATTCTATTCTCTCTCAGTGAGGTCTCTAACCATCTCACATCAGTGGTATCAGTGTGGTATTTGTTGTTTAGTGACTGGCTTCATTTAGCATAATGTCCTCAAGGTTCAGCCACATTGCAGCACTGTCCAATTACCTTCCTTTTTAAAGCTGAATAATATTCCATTGTATGCATTTATTACATTTTATCATTTGTGGATTGACACTTGGGTTGGTTCCACCCTTGACTACTGTGGCAAGGGCTGGTATGAACATGGGTGTGTGAACATCTCTTTGTGACACTTCTCTTAGTTCTTTTGGGTATACACCCAGAAATGGAGTTGTTGTATTGTACAATAGTTTTGATTTTAATTTTCTATGACTACATATATGTGTATACACACATCTATTTATTGAATTTTAATGTATATCATATATGGTGACCAGGATGTGCGGAGATTCTCAAATTCACCTCCAGCCACTGCCCTTTGGAAGATGGTCATGTGGTTGGGGGTAGGGCCGTTATCTACCTATGTGGGATTACAGGAGGATTTGAGGGGCCAGACACTCCGCATTGCTGTAGGGTAAACGTTTTTCAAGCTTTTCTGCCCTCCTGCCAATAGGATTGCCCTGCCTGATGGGGCATCTGCAGTTGTTACATTGTTGTAAACTGTGTTGTTCACTTCTGTGGGCATGACTGTAGTATTGAGATATTTGCCAAGAGAAGCAGAGGCAGGAGACAGAGAGAGAATGCCAGAGAAGCCCAGAGTGAAGACTTGCTGGGGACTTGGAGGCCAGCCACCCCTGCCTGCTGTGTACCTGGCTGCGGCGCTACATGTAAAAGCTCGATAAAAGCCTAAGAAAGCCATCGAGGGCTCCAGGACCCTCCTTTACCCGTCTGGTCCAAACATAGAAAACCTGCTCTGTGCCCTTCCTGGCACTACAATTGTGAACTTGGAACCCACTGCATTGTCACAACTCCCCCACCTGACTCCCGGGGACACCGGTGTGGCTCCTCTGGGTAAATGTGCCCAAGACCCAATTCCTCAGAATCCAATTCACCTAAATGTCCGATTTGCATATAACATTACAAAATTTTTATTATCATCTTGTCTTTGTAATAGCATCTTTCAGCAAATTGAATTGGGCTCAGCTCCAGTTCCTTGAGCTGCAGTTAAAGTATGAGAGACCTGAGGAGAGGAAAGGAAAAACCCAGAGGAATATAAATAAAAGAACATAGACTATTAATTGTTTTCTAGGGAGGTTCACTACAGCGGATGGAAATCAGAGCAGCAGATTTGGGGGAAATCTTTCTGGTTTCTGGACTGGAAATATACAAAATGACGATCACAATTGTAAATCAAGGATTGATTTAGTGCGTGTGCGTGGCCGTGCACCGGCGCTCACTCAGGTTCAGCCTAGGTGAGGCCACCCCCAGAGTCTGAATTCTCTAGTATATTACGTCATCATAGGAAATGCAGCCAGCGCGCATGCGCCCACTTAAAGCGCCCAAGCGTGAATTCTCTAGTATATACGTCATCATACTAACGGCAGCCAGCGCGCATGCGCTCATTTAAAGCGCCGGCGAGCTCTGGGAGTCACTCCGCCCCGCCCTCTTCCTCAGACGGCCCCGCCTTCGTTTCCCGGGATTGTTCTGCTCCGCCCCGAAGGATCCAAGTAACCAATCAACGCCCGCTATTTCCTTGTCGTCATTGGCGCGTGCCCCGGTTTCAAAAGTCCGGGGGCGGGCTCCCGGCTCGCGCACGCGCCGTGGGCCTCCTGGCGCACGCTGGTTCCGCGTCCCCTCCGAGCCCTGCCTCCACCTGCCCGTAGCGCCTCGTATTTGAGTGTGTGTGAGGGGGTGCGGCGCGGGGGGCTTCTGGGCTGTCCACCCCGTCGCCATGGGCAAAACTGCCGACTCCAGGGGTCCCGGTGGCCGGCCCGACCCGGTGCGGAGCTTCAATCGATGGAAGAAGAAGCACAGCCATAAGCAGAGCCAGAAGAAGCAGCTGAGGAAGCAGCTCAAGAAGCCCGAGTGGCAGGTGGAGCGCGAGGTCATCAGCCGCCTCATGCAGAACTACCAGGCGGTGAGGCGCGCGCCGGGAGCGGGAGCGGGCTCGGGCCGGCGGGCGGGCGCGGGCACGCGTGGCTGCGGCCAGGGGCTGTGGCGGGAGGGGTGGGCCTGTCTCCGGGGGCCCTGCCCGGGCAGCACGTCGTTGGGCCCGGGGCGGGAGGAGGGCGTGGGCGAGAGGGGCCGCTGGGGGCCGGTGGAGGCGCCACAGGTGTCCTCTCGGGGCTAAACCCAGGCCTCCTGCCCGTGCTGGCCGCCTCTCGCGCAGGGCAGCGTGCTTAGGAGGCATCGGTGTGTGAAGTGGCGGTGATACTCGCAGAACCCAGGACAGCCGACGGGATAAAGATTTCTGTATTTTGAAGCACTCACTGCGAGCTTTATGGTAATGGTTTCCCCGGGTGTAAGTTTATAGATGAGGATATGGAGGCACCGTGAGTGTAAGAAACTTGTCCTGAGCCTCCCACTTTGTGGCTGCTGTGGAATTGGAGTCGTGACCTATGTTTTTCGGATTCCCCAGTCTTTGCTTTTCGCCTTTAGGCCAGACTTGTGTCCCTCGACAATTTCCATCTTCTATTCCTGTGCCCGTTTTATTTTCTCCACTTAGATGCTTGTCCCCTCCTGAGAACTGGCATCGAAAATCTGGACTCTGGGTCTGTTTTATCCCCACATTGTAGCTGAGTTCCCCTCCAGGGATCATTTTCATCCCTTGACACTTTCACTTCATGCTTTTTGAAATTGACGCTACCTTAAATTCCATGTCAATGTCAGTAACTGACATGGGATTTAGAAGAGTTGCCGCCTTCTAGTGCCGTCAATGGGGATTTAACATGTGGGGTGTTTCTGGAATGTACCTGTGTCATTCAGCTTTCTTTAGAGCGATCCTAAGATCAACATTATACAGGTTGACTTGCCATCTTCTCACAATAAACTGTGAGGTTTGTTCTCATTGCAGGTTTCCCCGTGGTAGGTTTCTACTTGGTAGGTTACTTTTGAGGGCCGGAAACAACATTACCTTTACTTTATATGGAATAATTTTAGAGCATTTCCAGATCCACAAAATCATCTGTCAAATCATACCAAATCTGAACACTATTTACAGATGCTGGGGATGTGGGGGAAGCCGATATACAAGTGAGGAAACTTTTGAGGCACAGCACAGTTAAACAGCTAGTAAGTGAGGTTCTTAATTCAGCTTAGGTCTGACACCAGAACGCCAAACTATTTCCATTTATTGCATTGCTGCACAAATGTTTAAAAAACAGTGTTTTCACTAAGTTCAAAGAGCAGCTCCCCTTTCCCCTTATTGTTTCATAATCTTAAAAATATTTAAGATTCTTGTCAAGAAATATAAATGAAGTGTGAAATCAGCTGTTATGAGTAGCAGTGTTAGATCCTTGCAGATTTGTTCTGTAGGTTACTAAGGTGCAGATCCTCTCTGTAGGAACACTGTAGGGCACTTTAGATGTTAGTGCTTGTGCAGAAATTTACTGTGGCCCCCAGCACACAAGTGGTGCTCAGTAGTCTCACTGGAGAAATACTAAATGACTTGACTCAAACATTTTGAAACAGTTGGACAGGTACTTGCTGGGGCCTAAGTAAAAATAGATGGAAAAAAATACATGTCTTTGTCCCTCAGGAACTGTGATGGAGGTGGGGGGTAGGTGTTGATACATTTTCACTGATGTTATAGTGGTAAGCACTTAGAGTTCTGTAGAGGTAGGGGGTGCTGCTTTAGGGGAGCAAAGGTTGAGTTGTCCTGTGTAGCTCCTACCTGGCCAGGAGCTTATAGGCCAAACTTGGTCTGGGAATTAGCTGTGGGTGGGTTTTACTCCCACAGCTGCTTCTGTATAGTGCACGAACTGCCCAGCCTATTGGAGCTTGTTCTGGAATGATGTGTTCTCTAGATAGAGAAGCTTGGCAAGGACATTGGAGGTGGAGGAAGTGACATGAAAGAAGCAACATGAAAGAAAAAATCAAAAAGCTATGAGGGTACGTGGTGTTCTTCCTTGGAACGTGGCTCATCTCCCTGAATTGGCTTCAGGTGAGGTTGGAGAAGAGTGTTGAAGGTGGACTGAGGGACTTTGGAGGCAGGAGGAGTCAGAATACAAGTTCCCCCTACTGTATGTAAGTAGAATGTTCCTATTTGGTATGGTTTGGAAGGTGATTTTTGAGCCTTCTTAGACCCCCCAGAATACTCTTCCAGATCAAACTAAATAGGAATGGCCTATTTTCTGGTGGCAGGGGAAACCTGTGAAGGCTTCCTAAATATTTCTACGACCCTATCTCTACATTAAGGTACATGGCAAAGGGTAGTTAAGGTCTCTAGTCAGCTATAGATGTTTTGATGGGCTCATCACACAGGGTACATAAGTGTGGAGGAGGGAAGCAGAAGAATCCATGCTGGAAAGATGTGCTCTCCTTGCTGGGACTCTGAAGAGGAAGAGGTATTGGCTATGGAATGTGGGTAACCTCAAGAAGTTTGAGGAGGCAAGGAAATGGATTCCTCCAATCACTAGAAAGGATCCATCTCTACCTACACTTTGATTTTTACTTTTAGCTAAGTGAGACCCAGTTTGGATTTATGACTGGTAGAACTGTAAATTAAGTGATGTTGGTTTAAGCCATTGTTTGTGGTAATTTTTATTTTTCTAAGATTTTATTTATTTATGCATACAAAAGCTTGAATGTAGGCCAGAGATGGGAGAGGGAGGGAGGATTCACCAGAGACAGATTGGGGAGCAGAATAGATGAATTGACTGAAATACACTGCTGAGGGGAGCAGCGGGTGAGTCAGGAGAGGTCTGCTGCACCATGTGGGTAGCTCCCTGGCTGGGGATCGAACTGATGCTGCAATGGCTGCTGTTAGCTTCATAGTGCTGAGATTTAAACCCTGTGCCACCATGTTTGTGGTGATTTTTAAATAGTAGGAAACTTACCTAGAGGCCAAGCTCAGAGACATTATCTGGAAGGAAAGAGGCTTCAGGAGAGAGACTTTGGCTTCAGGAGGAGACTCGGCTTGACTCTCCTAAAAAGATCTGAAATGGGGCTAAGGTGGGCTATAGCCTCCAAAGGACAGTGCCCAATAGAGGACTGGTCACTGTGGTTTCTTCATCTGTGCAGACAATTGCAAGACCCCTCAGGTAACAACAACAGTGGGATTTATTTAACCAGCGGGAAATAAGGAGTTCTCAAGGCCACGAGTGGCTGGCTGTCTCACCTCAGTGTCCACGGTGTCCAAAAGTTCTAAACAAAAGGCCGCTCCTCCAAGATGGTGCTATCCTGTCAAGGGCCTGGAGCTTGGGGCACACCGGCAAGCCATGGGCCAGGATCCAACTCAACACAGCTGGACATTGTAGGGCAAGTGAAAATTATCAGGCTTTTCTGCCCTCCCACCATTAGCATTAATGATGGATCCCTGCTGTCCTACATGCGTGCCTGATGGTGGACACCTGGAGTAGGGTGTGGGCATGCATAAGTGGGCACACCTGGGCTGAGAGACTGGGCTTATAAGGGTGGTGTCACGGGGATGCCAGCCGAATAGCAGAACCAGCAGAGCGGTAAAGGAGAAGCAGAGACCACGAGAATGCTGGAGAGCCCAGAAAGAGTGAAGATTTGTTGGGGGCTGGGAGGCCACCAGCCTCCTGGCCCCACTGCCTCTCTGTACCTGGGTGCGCACTACATATGATGTAAAAAGCGCAGTAAAAGCCTGAAAAGCCACCGAGGGCTCCAGGACTCCTTTACCTGTCTGTCCGATCATAGAGAACCTGCTCTGTGCCTTCCTGGCACTACAACGTGCTGACGGGTGGGGCCGCTGAGATGAGGCTGCAGCGGTCACAGCCACAGTCTGAAGGTTGGAATGGACAGCACTGGACGCTGGACCAGACAGCAATGGAGGCAGCAGCACTGGGAGGTGGTGCCACCAGGTGATTAATAGCTGTGACCCAGACACTGTGCCCGTTTCCTGTCAGCAGGGCTGGGTAGCACTGGCCAGTAGTGCTGGTCACCCGGTCACTAGCGTTACTGCTCTTTGTGAGTTGTTGGCTCACATCAACCACAAATAGCTCCTATAAGACACCAGGGCCAAGGCCTTGTGCTTCTTCCAGGGGATGTCAGAGACAGGCTGGAGGCAGGCAGCAGCCTCCGGCCTCTGCAAAGCTCTGGCTTTTCTGTGACCTTTTTCCAGCTTCTCCTCTTCCTTTGACGGTGTAGTGGCAGGAAGGCATAGAGTGAGATTCTATGATCCGAGCTCACGGGTGAGGAGAGGAGTCCTGGAGCCCTCGGTGGCTTGTCAGGCTTTATTTGGGATTTTACCAGGTACATAGCAGGCAGGGGATACGGGGAGTGGTGCAGGGCGGCGGGAGGCTGGCAGGCCTCCCAGCCCCCGGCGAATCTTCACTCTTTACTGGGCTCTCTCCGGTGTCATCTCGTGTCTTCTTTCACTCTTGTTCTCTGCTCTTATAGCTCTGTTCTGCTCTCTTGCTTGTTCTCTTGGCGTCCCGGTGATGCCGCCTTTACAGGCCCAGTCTCAGCCCAGGTGTACCCACCTACGTATGCCCACACCTTCCTCCAGGTGCCCGCCATCAGGCATGTGTTCAGGACTGCAGGGATCTATCATCTGTCCTAATGGTGGGAGAGCAGAAAAGCCTGATAGTCATTTACCCTACAGGAGGTCAGCTGCTGGATGCGTCTGAGAGCATCCTGTCTGAGCAAGCAAGTGTCCAGTCCAGAGCATCCCAAGTGAGTCCAATTGAGTCCCATCTGAGCAAGTCTCAGTGCAGGAGTGCCATGGCAGAGCAGGCCTATGAGTCTAGGGAGCAGCGAGCCCGCTCCGAGTGTGCGAGAGTCAGAGCAAGTGAGAGTCCAGCCAGCATGGGAGCGCAAGAGTTCCAAGCAAGTCCTGTTCAAGCAAGTCCCAAACTGGATCCTGCCATCTCTCTATCCCCCTTCAGGTCCCCGCCTCCTAGTCTGATGGAACTGGTTTCAGTACTGTGGCTGATCAGCTCATCTATGAATCAGCTCGTATAGCTTGCGCTAATCGGTCCATTCCACGGTCCTGGCACTGAATACACGGTCCTCTCTGTCTGCAGCCGGAGGGAGCCACCGTATTGGAGCAACCCCATGGGGCTCCAGGGGCTGTGTACCCTGGCGTGGGAGGATAGGAGAACCACTGATGTTCACCACTACTGCTGGCTTCTGCCAGCAGCCTGAGCCCCAGTGGGGCCATTGATTGGTAGCAGTAAAATGCCTGCCACCCACTGCCACTTGAACTGCCTATAAGCAGTGCTTTGGCACAGTCTCCAGTTTCACTTAGACACAGACCTTTCAGACCTTGCAGACCTTTGCGTCAGCTGCATTTATTGGGAGTACCACTGGCCTATGCATGGCATCTCTGAAGAGCCATAAACACTGGTGCTGTGGTCCTCTGGCACTGCCTCTGAGAGCTGTCCAGTCTGGTATCTGGCACCGAAAAGCAGGTCTTGGGGTTGCTGCCATGGTGATGCTGCAGTAGCGCCATCTCTGACTGCCCCTGGCTTCCACAAATTAGTTGGGTCCGGATCCTCTGCTTACCAGTGTGCTAATAATTCCAGGCTCTTATCAGCGGGACAACTCTGTCTTGCTCCAGCAGCTTTTGGTTTTGACTACTGGACACTCTCGGGTAGGACAGTTGGCCATTTGTGGCCTTAGAAACTCTCCTTATCTCAGTCACCTCTTTGTAAGTAAACCCTGTTGTTGTTGCACCCTGAGATTGAGCTGTCTTGTAATTGTGAGCACAAGGGTGAGAACCCACAGACTGCAATTTCCCCAAACTTACCTCCGTTTCATGGGGTGCATGTTGGAGGGGCTGATGGAAAGTGGGGGATTAAAGCTGATGGAGAAGACATTATTTGTTGTGGTTCAGCAACTGTTTTTGCCATTGCTAATGACTCAAAAGTCTGCACCTGGGATTCGTTTAGACTTTTATTCATTTGCACTACATAGAAGCTGCATTCTAATCCCAATTTTGTTTTTTCTCTTAATCAGAACTGGGTTCTGATTAAGCAAACTGAGGCAGATTGCTTTTCTTCCTTTGATTGCATTAGGTTGAACCTTCTAGCAAGTTTTTATACTTTTCCCCTGCTTTAGTGAGAAATGAGTGTTGTAGGATGTACAGGAGGGTCTAAGGGATATCCATCCTGTCCTCCTCTTTGGCCCCTTTATCTTTTCTGGCAGTGTTGGGAATTCTTAAATAAGGACTGTCACTGAAACATCTGTTCTTGGATGTTAGAGGAGGTGTGAATATTGCAAGGCAGGCGCGATTGTTCTAAGAACAGACAGGGAATGAGGGAAAGAATCCTTATATTTCTTTTGTAGGAATCACACACATTTTCTGCTGTGGTTGTAAATATTCCTTGGAATATAATTGAGAGTCTTCTAGAACAGGTTCAGCAGACTCCTTCTGTAAAAGGCCAGTTAGTCAGCATTTGGCTTTGTGGGCCGTGCGTGCTGTCATAGCATAGACAGTGTATAAAGGATGGTTGTAGCTGTGTTCCAATAAAACGTTATTTACAAAAAGGGGTAGCACATTGGGTTGGGCCTTTGGGCTATCATTTGCTGACCCCTGTCTACAGCATCAGTGGAATAAAAATTTGCTTTTCTCTTTGAGTGACTTCTAGGAACGTGGTGTTCCCTTGTAATGCCCGATGAGTGCCAGAACAGTTTTCATGCCTCACGCTCTGCTCCCTTCTAGGAGCGTAACAGACTTGAGAAAGATGTGCAGTATTTCCTCTGAGCAGTGCACTGCTCCTCCGCGCCTCTCTGGTGGGGGCACCGGGACTGAAGAGTGAGATGCCGATAAGCTTTCCATTTGCTGGGAAAATGGCTTTTTAACTGATAATACCACAGGTGCCAGGGTGGACCCACCTAATTTTAATGTCCTGTTTGAGGGATTACCTTCTAATTGAGGTTCCTTGATGGGATGGGATATTATTTGAATAAACTTGACTTCCTCTAATGCTTGTACACTGATTCCTTCTCTCCAGTGTTTTCTAAAGTGATTTGTAGAGATTAAGGCAGCATTTTAATATTTGTGTTTTCAGCATTTGAGACCACAGAGTAACCCTGCCTGGGCTATGATAAGAATCTTGGAAAAGCTGAGGCATCAACTGTAGAATGAAATACAAGTTGTCATCCCTTTATAGCCTGGAGTCTAATTTAAATAAATGAACCTTACAAATACAACTTTCCCTTTTGTGAATCATGAATAATTTGGCAGCATATTCTGAGATCTGAAAAGTAGTTCCTGTGTTCAGTATCTGTGATAAAATAATTCTCCAGAGCATCTGAAATGAAATTCCGAAAATTGGGTTTATGCTAATGTATAACATCGGTAATGAACATTAAGATAATGTAAAGTTAAAGGGCAAAATATTACTTATTGTGGCATCAGAGCATCACAGAGATTACTTCTGGTTATTGTGAAGTAACTACCTTTCAGTAGCCCCCCAAGTGAGTGGTTGTTGTCTGCTTAGATTTCCCATGCCTTTGATTTATGGTTAAAACTTTGAAAGGTTTGTGCTAATGAGACATTTCTCCAAATAACTTTAATCTGTTCTCCAAAATGTATCAATTGAACCATTCTCTTTGTGGTCTGTGGTTTACAGTAAATTTGCCTCTTATTAAACTGATTCCTTGAAGGATGGACTGAAAGTAAATTTTGTTCCTTAAATGAATGTGAGGTTTAACAGTTTTAGAGATGTGGGATGTACAAGGTAGTAAGGAGAATATGTTTTTAATGAATCAGGATTTAAAAAAAAAAATCAGTTGAAATGGTTACAGAGTTATATTTTTGAGGAATAACATAATAGCTTCTTAAAGGCATATTTCCTTTCAGAGGAGATGATGCTTTTTAATTAGAAGGGATGATTGAGTTCAGTACTCTAGTACCAAGGATGAGCTGGGCAGCAAAATGTTTACAAAAAATAAGCATATATTACACAATGAACTCATCTGACTTGGTTCTTTTTTTTTCCCCCCTCAGATAAATGTAAATGAAATTACAAGATTTTCAGATTTCCCTTTATCCAAAAAAACATTGAAAGGTAGGTATGTATTGTGCTTTTTGGGATCTTTTGTTTGATCTACTGGGTGCTTTATAAATGTTGAAAAGTTTCTGGAGTTTATTTAAAAAATTTATTTTTATTTACACATACAAGAACTGGAACGTAGGCCAGAGGTGAGCGGGGTGAGAAGATTCACCAGAGGCAGAGTAGGGAGCAGAACAGGTGGATCGTCTGAAAGACACTACTGAGTGGAGCAGCAGGCCAGACAGGAGAGGTCTGCTGTACCATGGGGGTTAACTCACTGGCCAGGGATGGAACCCATGCTGCAGTGGCTGGTGACAGCTTGATAGCACTGAGACTTTAGCCCCTATGCCACCAGGGAGGCCCAGGTTTCTGGAGTTTGACCTGAAATCTTATTTTGGCCAATAATTTTGCTATCGTGAAAACCTGTAACATGAAACATTATGAATTCATTTGAGTTTTATGAAGGTGCCATTCTCCGCAGCCTTTCTAGACTGGGTAAAGAACAGTAATACAAACCAACAAGATGCCGGGGCCTCTGAATATTTAAAACAAAGCCTAATTTTATTAAAGTAAGCAAGAGAACAAACATAAAAGTGACACATTTTGTATTAGTTTGCCAGGATTCCCATCAGAAGATACAACTGACTGTGGCTTAGATTACAGAAGGGAGGCTGGGAGTTGAAAGATGAAGGGCTGGACAGGACAGGTTTCCTCAGAGGCCATGCTGGAAGAATCTGTCCAGTCTTTTCTTGGCTTACAGAAGCTTTCTTGCTGCCATCACATTATTGTCCCTCTGTGCATGGCATCCCTGGTGTCTTCCAGGTGTCCAAATTGCCCTTCTTAGAAGAACATTAGTTGGATTGGAGCCTTATACTATCATGGGCTTGTTTGAACTTACCACATCTTTCAAGGTCTCTCTGAACAGTCATATTCCAAGGGTCTCTAGGTTGGGACTTCAGCATATGGGTTTGAGGGAATGCAGTTTAGCCCATAAAACTCTTCTTTCGGGATATTCTAAAGTGTCACTCTCCTCGCTCCTTGCTGCCAGGTTTGCAAGAAGCCCAATACCGCCTGGTAACCGAGATCCAGAAGCAGACCATTGGGTTGGCCTTGCAAGGCAAAGACGTGCTGGGAGCTGCCAAAACTGGATCTGGCAAGACTTTGGCTTTCCTTGTCCCCGTGAGTGGTTCATTCATCCTGGACCGGATCCTCTGTTGTGATTTTAAAGCATGTCCTGTCTAGATAGAAATAATGATCAGAAGAGTTGTTTCTTGTTTTTCCTTGATGTCTGGAGACACTAAAGCCTTTTGGGAAATCCTAAAGTCATGTTTTTGATCAGGTTGGGCAGTATAAATCCTGTAACTCTGGACTCAGAGATGGAGCATTGTGTCTTATTGTCCCTCAGCTGTTATCCCTAGCTTATTTTTAACAAGAAGAAGATGTCTCTGATGTGCAGGGGCCAGGTGGAGACTTGGGATCAAAAAGCCACTCTCCAAGGAATTGCTGAACATATGTTTGCTGTTTCTATCAAGGTGCTGGAAGCCTTATATCGTCTGCAGTGGACCTCAACAGATGGGCTGGGGGTTCTGATAATCTCACCTACGAGAGAACTGGCCTATCAGACCTTTGAGGTTCTCCGAAAAGTAGGAAAGAATCATGACTTTTCAGCTGGTCTCATCATTGGTGGAAAGGTTTGTCCTTTTGTCCTTCCTTCTATCACTTTTGTTGGAAACTTGTGGCATTTGACAGGGAAGAGGTGGAGATCTCATGTAGACACACAAGGTAGCCCCCTAGACAGTTCCTTGTGGGGTGTAGTACCCTGATTTGTTCACTGTCATTTAGAGTCTGGCTGTCAACTTTGCAGGGTCAGAAAACCCATTTTGTCAACTATTTGAGTGGCTTGGATTCTGAGACTAATATTCTAATAGCTCTGCAAACATACCACTGTAAGTTGGGAGAGATGACATTTCAGTATAGTACAGCATCAGAGCTTTCCTGGGTCAGCAACAAAAGAAAGAAAGATAGGAGATAGTTTTGAGAGATGCTTATTTTAGATCTAGGTCCTTAAGGATGTATCTGGAAGGCCCATATCTGTTGTGAGATAAATACTTGGATTCTTGAATTTGTGTGTAAACATAGACAAATAATATCACAAATCCTCACATCTTAAAGTAGCCAACCCCTGCTTTAAAAAGAATATTCTGTGGTTCCTGTTTCCAGGATAGAGCCTCTAGAAAGTAGAGTGCTCAGCTTGCTTTTCAGTTCAGGAGGTGCAGTGTATGTGTTCATTGTCCCCGGGGCCCGACTTCAGGGAGGGGAATCACTGCAGCTCACGAGTGTTTGGGCACTGTTGGCAGGCCTGAGCAGAAATGAAGACTGGGGGCATTCCTGTGATAGCATCCTTGGCCTTGAAATCCTGGGTGTGATTAAGGAATTTTGAGCTCTTGAGGTTTTCACTAAGAATTTTTATTTGGCCCAGAAATTTGGATGTGCTGCAGAAATAGAAGGGAGAAATTATGTTTGTGTCTAGAGAAGCTACATTGCTGTGATGAATGCCACATACAGATGGCTTTTATAGTCTGGATACACAGGCTGCTCAGTGATGTGTCTGTGTAATCAAAGGAAACAACTGTTTTTCAGGATCTGAAACATGAAGCTGAGAGGATCAATAACATAAACATACTTGTTTGTACGCCAGGCCGGCTTCTCCAACACATGGATGAAACAATATGCTTTCATGCTACCAATCTTCAAATGTTAGGTGAGTCTAATGAATTTCTAAGGAAGAAAATCTCAGATTTAGGGAAACCCTCATATATTGTAACGTTAGAAATATTGTATTGTAAAAATATTATGATTAAAGACAAACAACTTTTGGCAGATGGGTTCTAAATTCAGAGATTGCAACTAGACTTTTTTGCTTTAAAATCAAGATAGAATTATATTCTTTTTATATACTTGTATACTTAATGTCTCTTACGTGAAATTAAGCACTTCAGTATTTGACGTTGCTAAGAGTTTTAACTTATATTCATCTATATCTGATGACATTGCCTAGAGTGTATTTAAGTCAGCTTTTTATTTTGGAATAATTGTAGAGTTATAGAAAATTTGCAGCGATATCTCAGAGATGCTGTGTACTGGTCCCCCAGTTTCCTCTAGAGTGGCATCTTACATAACTGTGTCAAAAGTGAGACATTAATATTGATACATTCTATAAATTCCAGATTCTAGATTCCATCTTTTTTATTTTCTAGGATCCCATCCAGGTACCACATTTAGCCTAATATGTAGCTTAAATGTTGTAGTTTCACTTGATAAAGTTCTTTTCCCTTTTTTAGTCCTTGATGAAGCAGATAGAATCTTGGACATGGGCTTTGCTGATACCATGAATGCTATTATTGAAAATCTTCCCAAGAAACGTCAGACTTTACTTTTCTCGGCTACACAAACCAAATCTGTGAAGGATCTGGCACGATTGAGTTTGAAAAACCCTGAGTATGTCTGGGTTCATGAAAAAGCAAAATACAGGTATGTGCTATTTGAAACCATATTTAATTCTGTCAAAATCAATGTTCAGTAAGAATTTGATATTTCAAATTAATGCTACTTTTCTAGGAGAGGTCTTTTGTATTAGATACGGAAAGAATAATAAATATATTAGTAAAAATTAAAATTTTTTGCACCTTTAACTTTGAGAATTCTCTGATGCAGTATTCTGGGGAACAAATAATTTTTCATAAGATGTGAACAGGTATTCACTATCCATCATAAAATGGGAGTGAGTTGGTGTGTGTGGGAGGAAATGTATTCCTGGATAGATAAATAACAAATGTTGAGTAAAACAATTCACTTTAAGACTTCTGAGAAATTTAATATTTTCATATGCATTGTGATTCTCTAAAGCATGGGAGAGGAATATTACCTCTTTCACTTATCAGAATCATATCGCTGCAGAATCATTCTTTAGATCTAGGTCTTCATTATGTAGGACTAATATGCTCTGGAACACATTTTTATCAAATGGATTAATTTCTAGCAAAATACCTTTCTGTTTAAAATGTTCAAGCAGCTGTTTTGACCTCACTAAAAACGGAAGAATAAGGTGCATGTGTTTGCGGCTATAGAAGTGTAGGGGTGTTTGTGATCTGTAAATGTATTGGTGGAATTAGGTTTTTTGAAAATTTCATTTAAAAAATTGTGTTAAGGTCATATTGGTTTATAGCTCTGTGTATGATTTAGAAGTATGGGATCACACCCTTCAGGTGTTGTTAGCGCACCACACTGTCCAACAGGGCACCCGCAGTCCTTCACCACAGGCCACTGTTCCCGCTCCTCACTTGTCTCTTCTCCTTCCAGTAACCTCAGTTCTACAGTCAGATTTCTGGGGTTTGTTGATGGTTTGATTTTATCTGACCTTTTGTTTCTCTTTATTCCACATGTAAGTGAAACCATGTATTACTTGCTTTCTCTTTCTGACTTATCTTACTTAGCCTAATCCCCTCCATGCTGTCCTCATGGCAAGAGGTCATCCTTTTTAATAGCTGAGTAGTGTTCCACTGTGTATGTATACTGTGTTTTTGTAATTAATTCCTGTCCTTGGGCTTGCTTTTCATACTTTGGCTATTATAAATAGTGCTGCAATGCACAGAGGATTGCATATACCTTTCAAATTAGTGTTTTTGCATTCTTCAGGTAGATGCTTTGCAGTTGAATTGCTGGATCACATGGCAGATCTATTTTTAATATTGTGAGAAACCTCGGTACTGTTTTCCATAGGAGCTAGATTAGTCTACATTCCCACCAACAGTGTACGAGTGTTCCTTTTTTTCCACATCCTTGCTAACATGTGTTGTTTGTGGTTTTTTTGGTATGGGCCATTCTCATAGGTGGGAAATAGGTTTTAAAGTGTATTCTGATATAACTGGAAGCGTGTGTCTGTGTTTCACATGATCATTGTTGCCGACATGGAAATACGCTGCTTCCAGAAGTGTTTTCCAGTAATTCAATTTGTAAATTTGAATCTGTATGGATTCAACTCTACTGTTATTTTTGTCTTAAAGCTTTCATTTCTTGCTATGAAATGTTAGTCTAAAAAGAAATAGATGGGGAAAATGAATTGGGTTATCCTCCTGGAAAGCCTTCAAATACAGGAAATATGGGCATTCAGGCCCACTTTGACCTGTTCAACCAATAGATATTTAGGCTTAAAATGCGATAAGATGCCGGACTTTCCACTACCTGGTGATCCTAATGGATAAAGTTTGGAGAATCTGAGTACTGGTAACTGAATATTGAGAGTTCATGAATGGAATAGCAAGAGTTACTTGAGCTAAAGCTTAATATTGGGTAGACATTGGTCTTTGTAAAGTTGTGTTGAGAGAGCTTACTAAAGTTCTTGATACGACTAATTTGATAACCTAAAGACTATATCTGTTGATTATTTTTTCTTAGTTCTTTATGCTGTTTGTTTTCTGCTTTTTTTCCAAAACTCGTTAGTGTTTATTTTTTTGGCCAGATACTGATAATCATTGGAAAGTTTCTAAACCTTTTATAGCTTATCAGTTAATTGTACATATTATTCCTTTTGCCAGTCTCTGTAGATAATAAGTTGGTTGTTATCTGTGGATCATGGTTTGTTGGAAAAAAATGAATGCAAGGACTGTTTATTTCATAAATGATTTTCAGAATACATTTCCATCATCTGTAGAAAATGAGACTTTTGGAGAACATTTAAGAAGGCAGATCTTAGTGACATCCTTTACAGAACTGTAGTTAGAAAATAATGACTGCAGTACTCTGTAATTTCAGATTGACCTGGAGCACTATAAAAAGCAGATGCTGCTATGAATTTTGTGATTATTGAATTTTCCCCTTTAGCAACTTATCAATTTGGTTAATACTCCATGAGAGACAGTAGTCAATATTTTAAGGCATTGTATAATATCTATTCTCAAATTGTGAAGGATCCAAAAAATAAAATTTAGATCTTTCTGAAATTGAATATCATAGTACATAGAAAAACTATGCCAGTGTGTGTTTTTTTATTGCTACATTAGCAGAAGGGTGATAATATCTTTTTAAGAGAAAATAGTTGCCTTTGGACCAGACTGATTTGCTGTATTTCACATTGAATTTAAGTTGAATTCTGATGAATTATGAAGTATTTCAAATTTAAGATGGATATTCTGAGCTTATGTTATAGAATTTTTACACAAATACTAATTTTTATTACAGTATTTAAGATGTAAAAGATAGCATATTAATATACATATATGTATTTTTTAATCTTTCATTTTCCCTCCCCCTTCCCTTTTAGCCTCAGAGTGCTCATAATATTTATTGATGTCCACAGGTTTTTGAAAGTGTTTTACGTTATTCAATTGTCTGCTATGTAAATATCCAGTATTTTGTTTTTATTGTTCTGACTTCCTTTACAACACATAATTCTCTCATGCTCCCCGCTTCCCCTCCACCCCATTTTGATGAAAATGGCTGCATTTCATCCTTTCTTATGACTGAGTAGTACTTCATAGTGTGGACATACACACCAGATTTTCTTGATCCACTTGTCTGACAGTGCCTTAGCTATTGTAAATAATGATGCTGTGAACTTTGAAGAACATAGGGAGTTTTGTGTTATTGAATTCATATTATTTGGATGTAGGCCCAAGAATGGGCTTGCTGGGTCTCTGAGTTTGTTATTAGGTGCAAACAAATTTATTTCCTGTTAATTTGAATCATCATTATGAAATTATGCATTTCATAATACATGCATGCATACATACATAAGTACTTAATACTCTTGCTTTAAAATTCAGTTTGATATTAGTCTATCTGTAGCAACTTTATTTTGGTCATTGTGTTTGCACAGTAAATTTTTCGCTCTTATACTTTCTCAATTGTGTATGTTAGATTTGTCTTTGTAAGCCACTTATGGTTCTATTATTTATTGGTATGGTGATTGTTTTTAACTGGAACATTTAAGTCATTGATATTTAACTTACTCTTTGTTTCTTCTCTGTTCCCCCAAATACTACTTCATGAAGTATTTTAATTCCATGCATTTTTGAAACATCAATATTTAGACTTACTTATACTTCTTATGTTTTTATTTCTTGAATTTTCTAGGGCTCAAATATTTACTTTTTAGTTCAGATTTCTAGTGAAAAGTTCTGTTTTGATTTTAAAAAGCTTCTATTTTATCTTTTTTGAAATGAAAATTTGATAGTTTTTTTCCTCTTCACTTCAAAGATATCTTTTATACTCTAGTTTCTATTATTTCTGTTGGCATCGGTGACCGTTCTTTTGTTATTTAAAGGTAATGTATGTTTTTAAAGATTTTCCTTAACAAGGATGAAAATAACAATAATTCAAAAAAAAAGAACATATGTTGGACTTAAAAAATATTTTATTATCTTTGGGCTTTAGCAAAACCACGAGTGGTGTCAGGACAGATTACCTTGACTTCGGCTTCTCTGCCTTTTAGACTTTAGGATATTCCATATCTGTCTTACCTTGAGTCCTGGGGTATGCACTGATTGACAGTATAGTCCCCCTGGGGGTCTCGGCTAAAAGACAGTTGGGTCTCTGCCCCTTCAACCAAAAAAACTCGCTCTGAGTTTCAGAGCACTGAGACACTACTGGGATTTACTTTGCTCTGAGCTTCCTGCTTACGCTTTTTGCTTGTTTCCACTCATTTTGCCCGTGTGTGCTGTATTTAGCTTGGCATACTCCTCACAGGGAAATTGAAGAATTTCAGATTTAGTTTCTCTTGGTTTTCTTCTCTCTAGGGTCTTGGACTCATATATGTAGGCCTCAGGCTGCTACTTCATCTCTCATCTGTCTTGCAAATAAGCTGATGCTTTGAGGGAAAAGTGAAGGTTAATATGAGACTTGCCATGTTGTTTCTTTCCATTTTTTCCTTCAGCACCTCAAGTCCTAGCTGTCTTGGTTGTGGTCTATTGTCTTCAGGGTTTTTTTTGTTTTATTTTATATCAATCAAGTTTTTATAGTGCTCTCAGCCAAAACATGTGATACAAACAAGCCCCTTTATGCAGGGATGATAACTTTTTAACCTTAAATTTTAAGTCAATGATGATGAATGTCTAGATTCATTATTTCAATAGAATATGAAAAATTGTGATGTTCTGATTAAGCAACCATAGACTACAATACTTTTTTTTTAAAGATTTATTTATTTATGCATACAAGAACTGGGCTACAGGCCAGAGGGGTGGGGGGTGAGAGAATTCACCAGAGACAGAGTGGGGAACAGAACAGGCAGATCGACTGAAATACACTACTGAGGGGAGCAGTAGGCGAGTCAGGAGAGGTCTGCTGTGCCATGTGGGTAGCTCCCTGGCCAGGGATCGTACTCGTGCTGCTGTGGCTGCAGAGAGCTTCATAGGTTGTGTCTTTACCCCTTGTGCCACCAGGAAGGCGCTGACTACAATACTTTTATATGAACAAGCTTTACCATACCACCTACTTGATTATCTAAGGTATGGTTCTTACACAACCAGGATACCAGAATGCATCCTTTGTTTACCATTTTTTGACTGAGTTCTCTAGCATTTTCCAAGGGTGAGCTTTTTTTTTTTCTTTATTAAGATGAGCTCATAGACTTCATGATACTTAATGATAAATTGAGAATTTAAAGATATTAAGCAACAGATTTAAACATACTTCTTTTTTGGCCTTCAGTGAATAGAAATTATTACTGTATTATGAATATTCAAATTGTCTTTCATCATTCCAATCTTGACTAGTAGGAGGTTCAAGTTGTCACCTGGATCCTTTACGCACAGTTCAGCAATCTTTGGCTTCCTTGCTTTCTGGCAAAGTAGTCACATTTCTGTGACTTACACATTTCTGTCTCATGTAGAATCTTTTCAGCAAGATAATGTATTTAGACATCATAGTCTAGGTGCCAGTAGGTTAGCACTTTGTTCAAGTTTCTCAGTAGGCAACTATTTTCTTTACTTTTTTTTTTTTTTTTAAAAAAAACACATAAGTTCACGTTGATACTTAAAAATTAAATTTAAGATAATGGCCTTTTACTCAGCCTCTTTGATTTATACATATGGATTCTTTTCCACACACATATATTGCTCTATACATATGTATATACAGACATATATATGCACATGTATGTATGTATAATGCCAAATGTCTTCATTCTTAATATCTTTAATGTATTTGCTTCATTTATCAGTATATCATATAGTTTAAGGATAATGCCAGTATTATTGTAAACAGTGCAATTATTTATGAATTTTAGATTTCTTTGCATTTTTTTCCTTCATATATCCCAGTAAGATGTAACAATCAAATTCCTTTGAAAGACTTTTTTTGTCATTAAGCTATTAACTTGATATCTATCAGGAGAGGCTCATTTGTTTCATTTTGCTTTTTTAAAAAATTCAATTCATTCTTTTTTGAATATTCCCTTTTTTGAATATTCAACTTTTAGTTTTTGGGTTGTCTACCCTTTTTTTAAAAAATATAAACAGATATACACAGGAATGCCTATTTATGAATGTATGTGTATATAAATATACTCCATTCTGATAAATGGCTAGCAAATTTTATGTAGTCTTTTGCTCTTTGCTTCTTTCTCTTAACCATGCATCCTAGAGTTTACAATGACATGAGGATACATCCCCCATTTTCCTTTCTTACAGTTATATGATACTTGATTGTGTGGATGGATAATAGTTCCCCACTGATGGACATATGGGTCGACTTTGATCTATTTTGCTTTATAAGTACCATCTTTTTTTAATCCCTTAATGTCAAAAGTGGTTTTGTTACATTTTGTTTGCTTGTGTCTAAAGTGTCTTCAAAAATAATTTTTGACTCAGGATTCAAACAAGAATAACATCTTTTTGTCAGTTTTCAGGACAGAATCCTAGAAGGAGGTTTATTAGTTCAAAGAGTAAATGCTTGTGTATAGCTATCTTAACATCTTACGAGACATTCCAAATATGCAGCACAACTGAAAGAATTTCACATAGAACACTTTATATGTGCCACTTAGTACCATTAATTATTCATTTAACCGTCCCTCTAGCTGTACATCAACACGTCTTTTTTTTTTTTGCATTTCAAAGTGAACTGCAGATATCTGTGCACAATTTCTGTAGGTGCTTCAGTACACATTTCAGTAAAATTCAGTGGTATAGGGATTTTACTTGATATAAGATTTACATACAAAGAAATGAACAAATCAAGAGTACATTTGCTGAATTTTGATAAGTGTGCATATCTCTGAAATCCACGCCTCTGTTACAGTGTGCTTTATCATTGGCTTAGGCAGTTCATTTTACCTTCTGATGATCTGGACCCGACCCTTTCAGAGGTGACCACTATTTGCATGTGTATTATTGATATGGATAAGGGATTTTGAATGTATTTTAGTCATGTGTTGAGTTCATTTTCTTAGGGACAACTGAGAAATTCTCTTCTGGGGTATAAATATATAAATGTGTATGTGAGAAATTTGAGTGGCATGCCATTGTAAAAATTATTTTTTCCTTTTTTTTTTGATTTGATATTCATGGTTATCCATCATGGCCTGTTTTTAATGTTTTCCCTCTTTTTTTTCCCATAAGCACCCCTGCCACTCTGGAACAGAACTACATCGTTTGTGAGCTGCAGCAAAAAATAAGTGTGCTATATTCCTTTTTGAGAAGCCACCTGAAGAAGAAAAGTATTGTATTTTTCTCCAGTTGTAAAGAGGTATATTGGGTTTATTTTCTAATGTTACTCATGTCAAATCATCCCTTCTAAAATTTCAGTCAACAAGTAACACTTTCTCTTTCCTATTCTGTTATATAGTGCTGGATCTACTGAGGGATCTGTTAGATAATGAGAAGCTTTTATCTTAGTTTTAAAGGAATAAGTGGATGAGACATCAAAATCAATAAGGGCAAAAAGTGCCTTTAATTTTAAGATTGTTAGCACCTAGCACAACCCTTAGAATATAGTAGCCCTCACTAAATATTGCTAGAACAGTTGAATGGCTGGGCTCACTAGAGACTTTACCATCTGATACACACCAGCCCTCTATGAGTACTGAACTAAGTATGTGTCTCCAAGCTTCCATGTCTTTATTCTTACTGATCTCTGGATTGGTCTCCCTGTATCCATGCCTTCACCCTAATGCTGGGGGATACTTTAACGTCTTTTGAATCCAAGCTCAAATATTACACTTAGAGGTCATTTTGACACTCTTGAATCCCCTTGTTACTCTCAACCATTTCCTCCTCATCTTTGTTAGTATTTATATGTTCATTCAGCTTCCAAATATTTTTCAATGCTAGCCATGTGTTATGAAGAAAGGGTCCAGGGATGTATAAGAAAACTCGGCAAATTGGGTAGTGGCAGTATCATAGCCAATGAGTTTTATCTGAGGAATGGTTACTGGTGATTGAGAACAGTCTCCCCCACCCCCCAAACAAACAAAATGATCTGTTATCTCAAAGAGAAGGGACTGTGCTTGATGTGTATATCACTTTTCCTCTACTATATTTTGTAGTCTCTGATGACATGCAGTTGGCGTGTAGAAGGTTGATTCTAGATTTATTGCTTCTGAAGTAGTTTAGCATGATAAATATGTAGGTGAGTTTCCCTTCAGCTATGGGGAAGATAAGTGGTGGTATCTCGTTGGGGAAGTGCAGAACTCATTATTTCGTTCTTTTACTTTGTAAAGAATGACTTCAGATTTTACTTTCTGAAGTATATGTTTTAGAGTTCTAGAACTTGACATCTTTTAAAGCAGAGTTGTTCTGGTATCTGCATATAAGGAAATTTTAGAATTTTTTTGTTTGAAATTTCTATTCCCTAATGCTCTGCCTTCCCTCTTGTGGTGAATGAAGTGTCCTTGCATCTGCCTAGAACCTGCCCTCTACATGTACTCCAGACACCATCCTCTCACCTGTGCCAGGTCACTGTTGATGCAGATACCCTTTCTCTTCATTTCCTTCCATCATTTTTTGATGTTGTTTCTCTCAAGAATAAAAAACAAATGTCTCATTTCCTGCCTCTTTTCTGTTTTTCAGATCCTTTTAAAGACTTGGCTCTGTTAGCTTCATCACTGCCTCATGTCTTTAGCCCTTTTCTGAGTCAGACCTTACTAGATACATCTTGCCAGAGTCAGTGGTCACTTACTAGCCCTCATCTTTCTTGACTGTTCAGAAGCATGAACACAGAGACTATGCCCTCCCTCTTGAAAGGCTTCTTTAGATTTCTGTGACTTCACTCACTAATCCATTATCTCCCTTTGCTTTCTGATTGCTCTGTTAGTCTGTTTTGCTGGGTTCTCCGCTGCCTACAGTTTGGAGTGCCTCAAACCTTCATAGCAATTCTCTTTCTTGGTGACCTCTTCAGTTCTGTAGCTTTCATTTCCAGCTAATTCTGGCAACTGCCAAATCCACATCTTAAGCTCTGACCTCTTTCTGCGCTCCAGACATGAATATCTGTTGGAGTACTGAATATTTCCAGTTGTGTGTCATCTCAAATTATTCTGGGCATTTCAAATTTAATGTAAGAAACAATTTAAGATTCCTATCCCTAAGGTATACTTCCTCCTATGCTCCCCATTTTAGTAAAGGATTGAATCCTTAATTCTTGTCTGCGTCCTATATTCAGTGACAATTCTCATCGGTGCTACCATTTCTTACCACCTCCCATACTACAGAGCAGTGTGAAAATACAGAAAATGCTTATTAACTCTGCTTAACCTGCTGGTTGGCCTTTCCATTCCGTCACTTCCTTTCTTACTATTCTTCCATGTAGCCAGAGTGATCTTTGGAAAGTGGAAACTGCAATTGTTGCAGCTTAATTCCTGCAGTGACTTTTGTTTCTGTACGTTAGAATTAAACTCCTTACTTAGAATTGACATGAATTTTTCTGTATAGTTCTCTAACTCAGCTGGTTTGTTCAGGTGCCAGGAATTAAAGTTCAGCGCTGATTCCAAAAATGCACATTGCAGAAAGTTTTCATGGGCTCACTTTACATGTCTTCCCATATGTGCTTTTCTGAGTTTGGTTTGCTTGAGAGGAATCTTAGGTCTGCAGGTTCTCCTTTCCCATCTCCCCTGTCTTGGTGGCCCTTTTAAAAACTTGGCAAAAGAAGACTTGCGTCCATTTATCACTGATCATCTTGGTGCATAGTCTTGGGGGTCAGGAAACTTTCCTAGCAGCAATACTGCTGTTGAGCAAGTGAGTGATTAATGATTGGGTAGCAAGACATTTTGCAATTCAAGTGGTTTTCCTATTTTTTTTTTTCAGTGAAATTTGAACAGATTTAATGGCGTTTTTAGCTGATAAAATTACTTGGAATAATCTGTTCATCCGTGGTTTTGATATAGTTTACAGGGGCTCAAAGAGTTAAGATTCCTTCTAGTCCATATTCTATTTTCATGAAGAAATTTTTTCAACTTTTAAGAGAAAATAGGGATAAATGCTTCTGTAGTCTACCTAGGTCTGCTAGTCAGTATTATTCATTTCTAAATGCATAAACTAAAGAGAAATAAAAATATTTGTTCTATCTAGTCTCATATCGAGATATATTTAAAATAAAGTTGGTTTTTTATGTCTAATGTTCTATCAAATTCTAATCTTGTTTTGGTCAGTTCTATACTAATAATCATAATAGCTCAGTCTGAGAAGAGACCTTTTAATGCAACCTTAGAGCACAGAAAATTTAAAAGAAGTTAAAAATTGATGTTCATATAGTTTGTTGTAGAAAATCATGATTTGTGATAAAATGATCCATAAGAGGCTATAAAGCATGAAACTATTTTTTTTTAAAGATTTATTTATTTTTGCATACAAGAACTGGGGTATAGGCCAGAGGTGTGCGAGGGTGAGAGGATTCACCAGAGATAGTAGGTAACAGAGCAGGCAGATCGACTGAAACACACTGCTGAGGGGAGCAGCGGGCGAGTCAGGAGAGGTTTGCTGCGCCATGTGGCTAGCTCCCTGGCCGGGGATCGACCTTGTGCTGCCGCGGCTGTGGATAGCTTCATAGGTTGCATCCTAACCCCTTGCACCACCAGGGAGGCCCAAAGCATGAAGCTATGAAGACAGAATTCTTTGGGGTGAGGAAATGAGTTTAAGGAGGGAAAGAAATGATGTAAGATTTCTTCTCAAAGGAGAATTTCTTCACATTTTGTTAGGGGCCTCCCCTAACAAAATTCTTCACAATTGAGGGTTCCCATCCCACATGCGTAAGTAGCCTCTCGTTATTTCTTCATATTCTTAAGCAGTTGGCAGTGGGTATCAAATTGCTCTGCTATTTAGAATCTACTAGATACATTTCTAAGATACAGTAAGCATTTTAAAACATCAATGTTGACATTTTTCCAGAAATTACTTTCTTTGCAATTGCTTACATTTTGAAAAATGTCAGATATCAAGTGAAAAATGTAAAAGGACCACATTTTCCCCCAAAATTCTTCTAAAAAACAATGTGAACAAAAAGTATTTAAGACCACAGTTCCAGGCTCCATTTTCCCTTCTGTGCTCTATTTTCCCAACCGTGGAATCTTAACTTCCTTAAGGCATCTTTAGCGTTGATGGTGTTCATGTTGGAGGCTTACTTAATCCTGCTATCCAGAAGTCCCAGACTCCCTTTTCTGTTGCCATCTAGGTTCAATATCTGTACCGAGTGTTCTGCAGGCTCCGACCTGGTGTTTCTATCCTGGCCCTGCACGGTCGACAGCAGCAGATGAGAAGGATGGAAGTCTATAATGAATTTGTCCGCAAGAGAGCTGCAGTGCTTTTTGCTACTGATATTGCAGCCAGGGGTCTGGGTAAGAATGTGTTTTAAAAGGAGATAATTTGTGATCATGGGAATACAAATTTCTTATATATGGGTATGTTTCGGGACTTCAACTAGTTTGACTGGGAGAATTGAATTGGTCCTGTAAGAAAAATAAGTAATCGATAGCCTATTAATGTTAATTATCTCAGCTACATAGTCAAAATTCCCAGGTTTTCATCTTCTGTGTTTTGTTGCGTCATGATAATTACATCACTGAATCCTGAGCAGCATACAAAATCAGGAGGGTTAAAGGTTTAAAGATAGAATGTTTCGTTCGAAATTGGAACCTTGATAGATATCACTAATAACGACAATGAAATCCATTCTTTCTCCAGCTAATTTTTATTTAAAATAATTAATATTTAATGTGTTCATATTTTCAAGAAGCCACTGTGATGATACTAAACAAATGGGTTTGTGATGTGAGGAAAATTAGTTAAGAGGTAAGAGCAAAGGCTGAGAATACATAAGTGGTGATGTGAATTCATTGAATTTTTTTGATTATGGGAAACTTTAAACATACACAAAAAGAATAGGTCTTGCCTACCCTCCTACATTCATGGCCCAGCTTTAGTAATGATCTTTGGATGATCATGGTCACTTGAAATCTGGCCAGTGCAAATGAAGAAGGAGTGGGTTTTTAATCTTACTTAATTTTATTTATTTTCTATTAATATACTTTCAATTTCAAGAGAAATAGCTATGGTGTTGAGCAGTATGGAATAGAGTCTGATATATTTGAATTTCAGCAAACTTACCTTTGAATTATTACTTGGTGTTTGAGTAAATAAATCTCAGTATTTACATTCTTTTGATGTTGTAATTTTTGCTGCTGAGGCAATTTGTGTATTTACATGGTTTTCTTCTTCATGTCTTTTAAATGACATTTTCTTTTTCTACTGCCCCTATTTTCTCTTTCTGGAAGGATATTTGACTTTTTTGATTTCCTAATGTTTCTGCTGCTTTTACTGTCCATTTCATTGTCTTTTCTTGTTCTTCACAGAAGATTTCTTGGCTTTATATTCAACTTCATTGTTAAAATTATAATGAAGCTAAGAGTGCCTTTTTAAAATAGCCTCGTTCTTGGTTAATGGATGCAGTGTCTTATCTCTCTGAAGACATTAAATTTTTAAAAGTTCTCTCCACAGTTTGTTTCTCTGGAGTTTCATCTTTACTCTTCGGGATTGTCTTTCATTTTTGAGGCTTTTCCCTGTGGACTTCAATTGGATGGTCTTTTATATTTAACAATGAGGCACCAAAAGCTTATATGAAGAGATTTGTGCATGATTGGTGCTTGTTATCTAATGACTGGAACGAAGACTAGTGAAGAAGTTAGTGGAAACTTCAATAGCCAGAAATACAGACAGGGAGGAGTAATTATTGCTGGGAAATAGGAAGAGGGATTTAGAAAGACATCATTAACTCAAAGGTAGATGGGAGTGGAAGGAAAAGTAGACCTCTATTTAAACCTAAAAACCAGTTTTGCAGTTCCTGGGAGCCCATGAGAATTGTGTCTTTCAGGGTTACTAAATTTCGGGGTATTTCATTATTTGTCTGACATAAATCTGTCTCTTCATCACTAATTTTAGTTCACTTTGTGAAAGAAGAGACATGCTTGTTATCTCTTGGTTCACACAGTTAACTTTATTTTTAATAGAGTTCAGAGATGATATCATTTTGTGATAGAAAGTTGTGGGTAGTAATTTTGTAAAATGAAAGTGGTGTGGCAGGGCAGATCTCAAAATTGATTTCCTAACTTGACTTGCTTTCTGTATAGATTTCCCGGCTGTGAATTGGGTTCTTCAGTTTGATTGTCCAGAGGATGCCAACACATACATTCACAGAGCAGGTAGAACTGCCAGGTAGGTGTGCTGGCTCATTTATTTGCCTTTTAGTGCAATCTTAATATGAAAGCAGTTTTGCAGTGTAGGTTGATAACAGCTGGTCAGATGTTGTAAATCATTATGGCCAAGACTTGATCATCATGCTGAGAAAAATTGATTAAAATCGTACTTCACTTTTATTGGTCTAACTTTCTTCCCTTTCTAAACTTTTCACCAAAATTGCTCATTAAACCTTCTCTCACTGAATCTTACTGACCTCCTCAGTAAGGCATAGGGCTGTCTTTCAGTCCAATTTTTAGATGAGGAAACAGTCTCCGGGCAGTTACACATTTGCTCAGAGATCCACAGAACTGGCATTTGAACCCCATAGTCTCAGTCCTCTGGTCCAGCTCTGTACCTTCTCCTTCTGAGGAACTAGTAAGAGGCACCTTATTTGTGCCTTATATTTGCTAATGAGCTGTGTAAGAATTATTTGGAAAAGAATATAGCAAAGTGATTAGCCTTTAGGAATAAATGACTTGGAAAGATAATGAAAAGGATCACTGCTGTCATTGATGTGGAGATTGCAGGGAAGTTGGGAGATGCTGCACATAGAATTGTAAAAGGTTAAATTAGCATTTTTCTGGAGTTTTATCCTTTCACCTCAGTGATTCCATATGCAGAAATTGATGTTAAAAAGTAAGAGTTAGATAAAGTTTCAGTAAAGAGACTTGTTTTACTGATATTTGTAATGGTTAAGAATTTGAGGCAACGTGGGCCTCCCTGGTGGCACAAGAGGTTAAGATGCAACCTATGATGCTATCCGCAGCCACTGTAGCATGAGTTCTATCCCCCAGCCGGCCAGGGAGCAATCCACATGGTGCAGCAGACCTCTCCTGACTAGCCTGCTGCTCCCCTCAGCGGTGTATTTCAGTCGATCTGCCTGTTCTGTTCCCCACTCTGTCTCTAGTGAATCCTCTCACCCCCCACACCTTTGGCCTGAATCCCTGCTCTTTGTATGCATAAATAAATAAATCTTTAAAAAAAAAAAAGAATTTGAGGCAGCATGTAAAATGATCACAGTAGGGTTATGATTAATGATGGTTAGCCACAGGTGGATTATTTCTTGCATTTACATTCTTTCTCATCAAAACTGGATAGTGAGTGAGTATAATATGGATGTCTCCCATTAATGATGAAGAGACACTTTAATGATGGAAGAGATGCCAGCTGTTGGTCTAATTGGACCAACAATTACTGATGATTTTTTGCCATCACCTTTTGTTGAATGACTTTCCAGGGATGGCAGCCTCATTACACCCTCATTCAAGCAAAGGTTTGGTCTTTCACTTGCCTCTGCATCCCTTTCTGCTAATTGCCCTGAATATGAAAGTGTCCTCAATTCCTGGCTTATTTAGGAAGTCCCTTGGGAATTTAGTTCTTTTAAATTTTTCTCTAGTTATAGTTCTCAGATGGTTTTAAAGAAAAATGTTTGTGTTCATGTGGTGAATTGTTGTTTCAGCCAAAATGAAGGTTTTTCATGTCCTTCTACAGCCTAACAAGTGGAGCGCTTTCTCCCTATTTGATAAAATGTTTGAATGTTTCATCATTTTTCAGTTGACCCATTTATCCTGCAGGCCATTAAATATGGGCTATAATGAGAGGTACCAACTTAAATTAAATACATTTGTTTGATCAACATGAAGGAAGAGAGAGAATAGCATAATCATTGAGGTAAGACTTTTAAAAATAGGGTATATGTCCCAGAAAAATCAAAAGTAAGTGTGGCAATTAATTACCTGATTTGAACAAGCAGTAGAGTTAGAGTTGGGTTTTGTGCACGGCATCATTATGCACTCAGACAAATGAGAATGGTTGGTACCTTTTGATTTCTGATGGTATCTAAGTACAAGGGACATGGAAAGAACAGCAGCCTCATTTTCCAGTTCATAAGAGATGCAGTGTGTAGTATGTCAGTGGTCTTTGTTTTGGGTAGATGTTTAGATTGCTTTTATTGTGAGATATTCATAGCAACTATTAGTAGTGGTTGATATAATTTTCTCCACTCTGTAGTTCTCCTCACTAAATGTGTAGTACGTATGAATTTGTACCTGTAGCCATGCAAACATTTGTATTTTGTAAACCTGTGGCCCCTGGATGTGTAAGGTAGGATACAGGGGTTAATAGATTTATCAGATGTGCCAATGGTGTGAATGGTGTTGGCATGGTAAGTGCAACCTGATTCCTTTGTAGAATACATTTAATAGTATTTTAAAATTAATGTCTCCTATATGATAATTATTAGACATCAGCACATCAGGAAAAGGTCCATGAATGGAAAATATTTCAGGGTTCTTGGTTCCTGGACAAGTTGTTAAAAAAGTTATGTAGTTGAACACATCATGATGTATATTAAATTGGTCTTAATGACTGTGGAGATGAAGAGGAGGTAGAACAACATCACGATTGTGTTTGAAGAGAGAATACTAATTTTAAAAACACTTGTAATTCAGTTTCTAATGTGGTCATTAATTTTAAAAGTACAATCGTGTTTGACCCTCCATAACCAATTAAAAATATTTTGAATTGCTATTTTAGAAGTATAGTCAGTGAAAAGGTTTAGGATATGTAGTGCTAATTTTTCTTCAGCAGTTCAATAAAAAATGACCAAATTGCACTTTAAAAGTTGTCATTAATGGGCTTAGGGATAATTACAAAGTTTTGTGGGCCATGGGATAGATAATTGAATTGAATAAAAGCTAAATTAAAATTTGAAACTAATTAAAATCCTGTGTGTATGCTGTAATTAAAATCAGGTTGCCAGATAATATTTGCTTTTAGAACTGAAGTATAATGTATGAATTTGGAGAAATGAATTTAGTGCTTTGTGGCAAAATAACTACAATTTGGGGAATCTGTTTTTTCCCCCCATTCTGTGTTTTAACTAAATGACAAGAAAGGGGTGATTCAGGTACTTGTTGGCTCGAGGTACTTACTCGTGTAAAATTCTTTTGATCCTCAACAATTGAGAATAATTTCCTTGAACCATCCATACCCCTTTTAACAAAATGATCTCCTTTAGGTACACAGGAGGCAAGGGATGTGAATGTGGCTTTATCCTGTGATAATGATACCACTTAAAATGATTGTCTTTAGGGCTTGCAGTTTTTGGTACTCAAAACCAAACTCTTTTAATGCCCACTTCTTATATATGACTTGGTAATGGAAAATAGGTATACAAGAGATACTCTTAATTTTTAAGTGCTTTTATTTGGGGAGTGAGAGTCTTCAGGTGGGAGATGAGAGTTTATAACTTCATTTCCATCTCATATACGTACATATTTTCCTACTGTTTATTCATGTTTGTATGTATATATAAAGATATATAAAAGATGGGAATAACATATGATGGGAATGTATTTGTGTAGTTTTCTACAGAGTGCTGGTAAATAATTTCAACCGTATTTCAACTGAGCCTTATTTGCTTTATTCTATTTTGTGGCCCTTGTATTTTCTTTGGGAAAATTTAGGTAGCAGAGTGTGATGCCACGAGGGGGCACCATAGGCCAGTCCTTTATCCTGCAGATTCATTGGCAGCAATTGAGATCAACAACAAATATGAAAATGGAAAGTAGTTAAAATTTCTAATGTGATAACTTGTGAAGAGTTCATGGTTGGTTTGTGGAAAATATTGTTGCTTTATGCAATAGATAATGAAGAGGATATTTTAATTGTGTCTTTAATTTGGTTGTAAATTGAAATAGACAATTTCCATGAACATTAATTTATTGAAGCTTACTGTGTATACCTTAGATATATGATATGAACGATATTTGCTAGTGAAAATTGTCATTTCTTTAGCTTAGAGCTAAGATAATTCTGTCTTTAGCTAGATCGAGGCTGGTGCTACCTTATATGGCCTTCCTTACAGAGGCCCTTTGCCTTTGTTGGTATACAGAACTTAAAGCTTTAATAAAAGCAGAATTAATACATTGTTTTGCATCAAGAAACACCAAGGAGCTTGGGCAGAGTCTGGTTAGTATGGACGAGAGGTAGACAGGGAGCTGATATTTCTGACATATTTCTCAGGCATTTATCCCTAGCTCTCCTGCTGTCTGTTCTCAGCACAGCAGGCAGAAAGATCCTTTTAAAACACAAGTCAGGTCCTGTTATTCCTCTGATGGCTTCCCACTTCACAGAGTGAAAACCAATGACCTGTTGGGCCTGTACTACTCAGCACCCCCTGCCACAACCCTGTTTCATATTATGCCACCTTGTTCCTTGTGCTCTACATGGTCTACTGTTTCTCCTATGTGCCTGGTGTGTTTTTGCCTTAGGGTCTTCAAATTACCTGTTTCTTCTGCTGGCATGCTTTTTCCTCAAGTATCCACGTGGTTATTTTTCTTAACCTCCCCCAACCACTCCTCTTTACCTTGCTCCCATTTTCTTTTTTTCCATAGTGCTTAACACCTTTAAATACATCAGAGTCTCTGGTGAATTCTCTCACCCTCCCGTGCTTCTGACTGTAGCTAGTGCTTGTATAAATAAATAAATTTAAAATAAATAAATAAATAAATCTTTTAAAAAAAAATACATCAGAGCCTTATTTATTTATTTTTTTTCATTTTATTTATACAAGAACCGGGGTACAGGCCAGATGTGCGGGAGGGTGAGAGGGTTTACCAGAGACAGAGTGGAGAACACAACAGGCAGACTGACTTTGTGTCTGAAGGTACACTGCTGAAGGTAGCAGCAGGTGAGACAGGAGAGGTCTGCTGCACCATGTGGGACCCTCGCCGGCCGGCCGGGATCGAACCGGCACTGCAGATTCTGCGGACAGCTTCACATCGTGGTGCTCAACCGCCTGCGCCACCAGGGGAGGCCCCAGAGCCTTACTTATGTAATAACGGTTCTTATTCTGTTCACTGAAATGAAAGCTCTGTAAAGGCAAGGAACTTTGCCTACCTAATTGATACACCAAGTGCTCAGACCAGGGCTGGTACGGGATGGACATTTGCGATCTCACAGATCCTCACTTA